TATTTTTCTTTCTTATTCCATTTACGAATGTGTGACAAATATAAATCATACATCATTCGAAAGTATTTTATGTCATGAATTTTGCATCATACTTATTATTGAGTAATTTATTCCTGAATCTCAAACAAACAAGTAGTTTGTAGAGAGGCTAATCGAAGTACTAAATAAGATAAGTTTAGATAAAATAATACGTAAGTTCGAATTTTAGTAGATAAGAAGAACTCAAAAACAAATCTTTCCCAAGCTCAAGAATATTTGAAGAATCTGTCGTGTTCATTATTCTACATTATAGCACAAACATTGATCTATATACGAATCAATCAAATCTTTTATTCTGAATTCATTTCTAATGTATTACAAATTTTCAACTTAATAGGGTGTCGGTGTATGGAACATGGTTTTTTAAACAATAGCAGTTTCGATCACGGATCGATTTCGATCTTTCTACAATTAAATATTTTCACTTCTTTACAAGAAAATACGAATCTTCTATCGAAATCTTGATCTAAAATGTTTGCAAGCTTATGTTTTGTAGGTTATGCAATAGGTGTAAATTTTTGAGGATTCTCACAAAAAAAACGATCGTAAAAGATTTCATCATGATTTTAGCTATTCTCAATAGCAATAAGTGTGAAGATTTCTTCTTCAAATTGTTATTGTATCGCATTCTGAACTAGTTAAATCCTAGAAGAAAGTTTTTTTTGTTTGTCTAGAATTTTCTAAAGATTTATATTGATACTGATTTGAGCTTTAAATTAGAAACAATACTTCTATGATTATATCTTGAATGGACAGTTACAGAATCGATAAAGTTAATAAAAAATGTCATGGAGTTTTATAAACTCCTTAAAAATAATTTCATTCTTATTAATTTGTCTATGAAGAATCTAGCTATAATCGAGATCTTGATTAAGGCCACCCCCCCCCTCAAAAAAAGTCAATTTTCGTGAGAACTGTCAAAATTGAGATAAATACATAGGAAAATAGCCCGTCGTCTGCTCTTTCAAAATCAATAAAAATTTTTCCTAAAACCTCCATTTTTTCCCGAAATATTCCAGAATTTCAGAGAACCAGTTTTTGAAAAACCAGCGGTTTTTTGAAATATCCAGAAATGTTTTTCGTTTTTTCTCGATTTATGATTTTTTGATTTTGGTACAAGGATTTCTCAGTCCGGGTCCGTCCAACATATTTAAATTTTTTTTTTGTTTGAAAGAGCGCGTCGAGATGCAGGTCACTACAGAGTCCTTTTTTTAATTAAGCTTTGTTTTTTATTATATATAAAGACACTTATGTGACTGGACACCCATTTTTGGGGCGTTTTTTGAGTCATTGGACTTGTGATCTCCTTTCTCTGCTAAAAAAGTAAGAATCTTAAAAAAAGGACTCTGTAGTGCTCTGCATCCTGACATGCTCTTTCTAACAAAAAAAAAATTTAAATATGTTAGACGGGTCCGGACTGAGAAATCCTTGTACCAAAATGACCTATTTTTGACCCTTGTTTGGTGAATATCTCAGGCAAACATCAGGGTATCGAGCTGAAAATTTTATCACAGCCTCCACACTTCAGCCCCAACATATGCTCCAAATTTCAGCCCATTTGAACGTACCTGGGCTGAGATCGATTTTTGAGGGGGGGGGGGGCCTTAAGTTACTTTTGGTCGCGAGCCCGTATAATTGAGAATGAGCTGAGAAAAAAGTGATTAGCAATGTATTGACGAAAATAAAAAAGCACATTTACATTTTCTTTCGAATTTCTTCAAATGTTTCCTTATATTCCAACAGATGAGGATGAGTTGAAGGTAATTTTTCTTGAGGGATCTCTAATGCTTGCTGAATATTTTTCATTGCTACATTGTATTGTCGAGTAGATAAATATAATTTCGCCATATTATGAAAAATTCCAGTTAAATTAGGATGATTTTTTGGTAGTTTCTTTTCGCGCATGTCTAATACTTTTTGATAATATGTCAGTGCTGTTGAAAAATCTTTCATTTCACGATATGTGTCAGCTAAATTTATATAAGTCATTGCACATTCCAAAGGGCTACACAGAACATTTTCTTGAATATTTAGTGCTTTTTCATGAAATGAAAGTGCTTTTGTATAATCACCCATTAATCGATAAACATCACCAATGTTACTGTATGTTATGCCTAAAAAGAGATGTCTTTCAGGTAGCGTTTTTTGATCTATCGCAAGGCATTTTTGAAAGTAATCTAATGACTTTGAGTAATTCTTCATACTACGATGAACTCTTCCAAAACAGCTGTATGTTTCAGCAAAAGATGGATTATCTTCTTTATAGGTGTTTTGCTGAATTTGAAAAGCAGATTTAAAAGCTCTGAGGGCTGTGCTGTAATCACCTATTTTTTCGTAGCACGTTGCAAAACTCAAATGACTTCCAATCGAATCGGGACGATTCGAAGGCAGAGCTTTTTCTCATATTTTAAGTGATTTTTCGTGAAATTCAAGTGCTTTCGAGTAGTCACCCATGTTGTTATATACTTGACCAATATTACTGTAGGAAGTAGCCCATGAGGGATGATTCGGATGCAGAACTCTTTTTGTGATTTCTAGATCTTTTTCCTAAAAACTCAAGTGCTTTTGAGTAGTCACCGATGTTGGTATACACTTGTCCGATATTGTCGTAGGAAGCAGCTAATGAGGGATGATTCGGAGGCAGAGCTTTTTCTCGTAAAATTCAAGTACTTTGAAGTAGTCACCCATGTTGTTATATACAAGGGCAATGTTGTTATAACTAGCACTGAGATCGAGATCGTCGTTTGAGACATTTTGTTCTTGAATTTAAATTGCTTCTTTGAATAATGATGCTGAGTCTTCGTATCGTCCTTGACCATTTTTCGCCCATCCGAGTTGATTATAGAGAAGTAGTCGAGAACTATCATGCGATGTCTGTTCGAGTATAGTGAGATATAACTCTTCAGCCTGCTCGAATTTGCCTGTTTTGAGCAGCAGTTTTCCCATTCGATGCCATCCCGAACCGCTAATCTCCGTTCGTATATGTTCAGTTAATTCATGAAGTTGTTGATTTTCATCTGATGTAAGTGTTAGTTTTGCTTCATAAATTTAATTGTTGTTATCAATTTTTCGAATGTCGCCAATTCGAAAAACAGTATGCATAGAGAATAGAACTTCGTCTTCCTCTTTGAAATAGCTCACCTCCTTGATCGAAGCGAATGGAGTCGTTGCAATTGAGCGATTTAGAGTTACTTTAAAAGGAACTACGACTGTGTTGATTGGTCCTAAGTTATTTTCCGCAAAAAGTCGAGAAACATCATTGTCGGTAGTGGTGGATAGAAAGTTATTGAAAGAAATAAGTCCGCCTTTATTATTCGTAAGCTTTTCAAAATCAGCTTTCGATAGACCTTGTCCTCGAGAGATTGTAAAAATGTTGCCACGATGGTGACTGATCTGATTCATGTGCATGACTTCGATTTGTCTGTGTACATCATATAGAAAAAAAAACCCATTCGTATCATAATATCAGCGTTGAGAGTTCTTAATGCAGCATTCAACATCTTGAATGTAAAGCATTGTCTTGTATACCACCATATGGCATTGGATGCTATGTAAGTTCGTTTGAATTCGTCAATTATGTTGAGTTCTTTCGTATTGTCTTCATATTCTTGTTGGCAAAAATTGACTAAATCTTGAACCGCTTTTTCATCATGTTCTATTTCAAGAAGTATTTCTTTGAATATTTGTGAATATATAAAAAAGGTTCGAGATGATCAAAAGTCTTGCTAGTACCTCCTTCATTTGCACCAATAATGCTCACAAATATATTATCTTGATTGCATTGTTTGATTAAGATTGCCAATATTTCACAAATATGTTTGATAGAGGTGTGAACACCTTTGATTTTCACCCAAATTTGAGCCCATACTTGATGCCGTTGTTTGTTGCCACAAAATATAAATATGGCGTTTAATTTAGCCATATGATGCATTTCTGGCACTAGATGTCGTCCAATTGCATCCAAGGAGATAACAAATGAAATCTCCTTTCGACTTTCATTCAGTTTCTGAATACATTGTTCAGCTGTTGTACATTGTTGCACGTGATTGACAACACCTTTCAATTGGTCCGTCGTTTCCTGGCAATCTTGACTTTCCATGTCGATATTTTCATCCATCCAGATAACCAAATAATTTTCAGCTATAGAAATTGTTCAGAACTTACATGATCAGTTAGGAGAGAAGAGTCCCATTTTGCAGTTAATAGCCTTTAGTTCTAAGCTTGCTCTCGTGCTGATAGATAAGGCTAGTAGAATCTCTTTTGCTTTTCAATATCTTTAGGATCAAGTTAGATAAGCATCATTTCAGGTGCCATGGATTTTTAAAGAAATGCTAAAGAAAATGAGATGTTAATCATTTTTTTCTGATTAAACATTGGTTACAGGACTCGCATATACATACGGACTGATCTTTTATTGAGGGTGTGGATGTGGGTGTGGGTGGTGTGTGTGGGTGTGGGTGGGTGCGGGTGTGGGTGGGTGTGAGTGTGGGTGCGGGTGTGGGTGTAGGTGTGGGTGTGGGTGTGGGTGGATGTGGGTGCGGGTGTGGGTGTGGGTATGGGTGGGTGTGGGTTGTGGGTGTGAGTGTGAGTGTGGGGTGTGGGTGTGGGTAATCCTTCTGTCTACACTCACACTCTCACATTTTTGTTATTAGATACAGTTGTCACCTTTGAACTTCACATGTGATCGTTGTCTGAAAAATTTTAAAATGTCACTCGAGTACGAAAAAATTTGCACTTGAAAATTTTATCTAGAGAACTTCTCTTGTGAGAAAGACAATTTTTCTTCATTAAAATATGACTGGTTGTGGAATAGAGTCATACTAACGAATTATAGAAGAGTTAGTATTTGTCTGTCAAAATCTTAAACGAAGATCGTTGGAAAATCTAACCGATGCACTACATGCTTAGCCACAGCCATAATTTTTATTTTTTATTTTTATGTTATATTAGAAAAAGAATATCGAAAAGCTCAAAAGGGAAATATGATAGTTTATCCGTATGTCCTGTATTTTAGAGTGTCGATGTGGGTAGATTTCTTTAAACTTTCCAATCCAATAGAGAATGTCCGCAACTATATAATATTCTAATCGGACAATCAGAGCTTTGAGATGATCTTATGGAA